ACATACAATAAGACAAAACTGACAAAATTATTAAAATTATTTTACATCCTAGGGAATGCAAGAGTGTAAAACAGAGACATTGTAATAAATCCAATTTTGACTGCCTCTGTGGCTGAACGGTTGCCATGCTGGACTGCCACGCAGAGGACCAGGGTTCGATTCCCGGGCCGGTAGAAATATTTGTATGGCCTACATTTATTTCCCTCGTGAGTTTGGGGTGTAATTTGTGCTTGTCTATGTGTGTGTCCATGGCACCCGCGACACAGGGTATCCTTACTGCGGGGGTGTGACTGTGTAGTTATTATAATTCTGAGTGTGGTAGCAAATCGTAATTTTTTTATTCGTCAATTGTGGTCTATAAGCCGTGGCAGCCTAAGGGCGCATTTATTCGCGACGAATTTCATCCCGTTCACCCCGCGCGGCGGCCACAGGCATTTACCTGTCATCGCAAAATACGCTCTATTTGTTGAGCTCTTACGTTTTAATTTAAATGAGCGTCTCGAGCACGCGGGCGAGTCTGGCTTGAAGATGGTCTACGCGGCGGTCCGCGCGGCTTACGCGCGGTTATATTGTTCAGAGGGATTTAAATGTTGTTGCTTAGTGTTTGATAAATTGTCTATTTGATGTTCAGGATTGAACGACACAATGAATAGGTGCTTTTAACGGTTTTAACACTGTATGTTCTGTACTTTGATTACAAGGAATGAATTTTAAATATGTATCAAAAATAACTGTAGCACTTGATCCGTAGCCATAGCATGTAATGTCACTTTTTTAATTTCTCATTGACGTTTCTACACCGCACTCCCAGGCGGCCTCCTCAGTCGCCCAGTGGAGTTACCGGCGCGAACACTTAGTAAATAGAATTCAGATTCGCCATTAATGTACTTACATGAAGGCGTGGTAACTGGGCGCTGATGATTTGAGCTACCGCCTCTCTAGCAGATGCCGTGGGTTCGGGCACTTCTGAGTTTTTTAAAATGATGTGCGAAATTTAGTTTGAAATTTACCATGAGCGAGGAAGGAAAACGTCGTGATGAAACCTGCACGTTGAAGAAGGTTCACAACCCTCGGAAAACGTGTAAAGTCCCCAACCCGCATTGGACCAGGGTGGCGGACAGTGGCCTAACCCTCGCCTGAGACGAGACCCGTGTACAGCAGTGGGAGGCATAGATGGGTTGTTGATGATGATTTTAGAGTCAAAGTGTAATAAATATACATATTTTTATAATATAAAGTGATAAAGAAGTCGTGTGCGTGGTGGTAAGCTACACTGCCTGACCATAACAGCTGCAGTGCCACTCAGAGCTTTAAATCCGCAACGATCTGAGAGATAAGTTATACGATACGATATACGATAAGTTGACAAGTTCCATGTGCCTGTAATTTCACCAGCACTCTTGCCCTTCAAAAACGGGAAAACATGAATGCTAACGTTACTGCTTGGCGGCAGACGTAGGTAAGGTGGCAGTACTTCCCTGGACGAACTCTTTCACAAGGAGCTCTACTGCTACTAAATATACTTACACAGGGAAGTCTTAGGGATTCTTAAGTTTTAAACAAAATATTAAAAAGTATCGTAATATTTACTAAACCGAAACTGATTGAAATGAAAAGAAACTTTGAGGAAATTTTAAACTCATGAAAGGTTCTCCTTACTGTTTATATTAATCGCTTTCATCTCCGTAAAATAAGAAAAGAATTCATATTAGCTCTGAATAAGCCCAATTTTGTTAGATCTGTCAACAAGGACGAACAAAGACTTAATTAAGTTAAGCGACTATAGAATTACACGTTAGTTATTAGTCTGTAGTATGACTACGTGTCTCGTTTGTAAATAACAAGATATCTATGACTATCGGTAGTATTTCTAATTTTTCTTATCTTGTCTCATTTCACGCAATGACTAATCGGTATCATTAATATCTTGTTAACAGAGTTAAGTCCGAGAGACTCAGAAGTGCGAGTTAGGATTCAAACCCAGGACCCTCTGCGTGAGAGGCAGTAGGTCAAATCATTAGGCTACTGCCGATAAGTAAATAAATAGATGAAATGAGATCATACAGAAAGATTTAAAGCACTATACAGTCATGAAATTCATCAAAAATTACGAGTAACACGTGTAGTCAGACTACAGACTAATAACCAGTGTAATCGTGTAGTTTCTTCAAAAAATCAAAAATCAAAATCAAAATAATCTTTATTTCATAGGTAAGCATTATTACACTTGAATTCGTCACATTGGTTAAACTCTACCTCTCATTCGTAAGGCAGATTCCCCTGAGAAGAATGAGCAAGAAACTCTAGGGGTTGCTCTTTGTAAATAACATTTGTATACATTCAACATTTACAATATATTTTTTTTGTTTTGTTTTCAAACATCTCTGATGACTCGAGACTACCCCTATGAGCTAAAGGGTTACTATCACGGATTTTTGTCATTCAAGTACGCAGTAGTTGTAACCTTAACCTTTAGTACAAAGTTTTTCTTTCACTATAATTTTAAAACTCGTCAATGGCAAATTTTGCATATCAACCGGAATCTTGTTATAGAAGCGTACACATTGCCTCTTAAATGAATTTGTCACTTTGTGAAGACGACTATCAAGAACATCTAGTTTATTTTGAATAAACTAGCTGTTGTTATTTTTCCTCGTATTAATGTTATGTCTGTCACTATTTTTCATAAAGAGATTATTATTCCTCTTAACATAATTACATTTTCATAGATGTACTGAGACGCTAGTGTAAGAATATTAATTTCCTTAAACTTATTTCTCAAAGATACTCTGGGGTCCAGATTGTAAATTTTGCCCTAACCATACGTTTCTGCAGGACAAAGATTCTATTGATATCGGCGGCATTACCCCAAAGCAAAATGCCGTATGTCATTAGACTGTGAAAGTAGCTGAAGTAAACCAATCTAGCGGTTTCGACGTCTGAAAGTTTCCGTATTTTTTTTATCGCGTACACTGCAGAGAACTTACTTATATGGGGACCCCATTGCAATTCAGCATAACGTTGTACCTAGAAATACAACTGTATCCACAAGATTCAATTTTTCATTTCTAACTACAATGTTTGTAACAGTCTCTCTAACATTGGGTAATGTAAATTTCACACAATTTGTT